CTACCGAGAAGCTACTTTTCTTTGGAGAGGACAGAAACAGGAGATGAACCCGGTTAATCGGACCGACAGGCTTCTAAAACACAACGTTCTGGATGTTTGAGTTGCTGAGAAAGAAAGAAACTCCTGAAACCAACCGTTCTGCTGCAGAACCTCTTGGTTGAGTTCAGGAGAAGCAGTTTGGGTTCAAGTCTGACGCCTTTAAAAGACGGAAACACTGGATGAGTTTTGTGAGATTACATCGTCTTATGGTGGCTCATAGAAGATATAAATAGTAGATTTTGCACCGTAGACGCACTGGTTTGTGTCTTTTTCTGGTAGTTTGTGTCTTTATGATGGTTTTGTGTTGATATTGTGTCCTTTGGTGGTGATTTGTATGTTTTTTTTTGGTCGTGTTGCATCTTTTGTGGTGATTTTGTGTCTTCATGGAGCTGTCGGGGGGATTTTGTGATGATTTAACGTGTTATTGTGATAAATTTGTGTCCTTTAGTGCTGATTTTCCATCATCTAACCTCGATGTTGTGTCTTTTCATGGTCGACCAACACGTTACACATAAAGGAAACCAGATAAATGAAGATAAAGATGAGAAGGAAGAATGTGGACTGAAGGTAAATCATGACGTTAGTTTTCTCTTGGAGCTACATCAGTTCTGCCTCTTTACATTCGTCGTCTGTTCGTCCTCGTTCTCTTTAGAACCTGCAGCTTGAGGCTACAAACTGTTCAGACTTCAGGAAGAACACCAGATCAGAGGAACCAGATCATCGTGGACAGGAAACTACAGAGAGCTGAGGAACGTCTGAACCCTCAGAACCCCAAAACCTGCCGACAAGTTCACAAAATAGAAACTGAAACCAGGAAGAAGAAGGATCATCGGATCGTATATGAAGTTCTGGTCCACTGGATAAATGAACACGTCCAAGTCATTCAGGGGCAGTTTTCTGCCTTTTTCTGTAGTTTTGTGTTTTCATCTTAACGTTTTGGGAAATTTGCCTTTTTTGTGTTGATTTCACATCTTTTTGTTTTCATCCTTTTACCGTCATCATGAGGCTGTTTGTGTCTTTTTGTGTCACTTTGTGGTGATTTTTATTGTCGTTTGGGGTTCGGAGGGTTAAAGAATAACGTGACATTAATAAAGAACGTGCTACAAAAATGAAAATAAAAAACCTGCTCAAACCAACACTCGAGTTTTACACCAAACATGGAGACAGAAGGTTTGAACCCTGAGGAGGGAAACAGATAAAACGACCTTTAACGTGTTCGGGTTCGTCGGGAAGATGTTTGGAGACGTTCTGGGATTAAAAACGAACCGGAAACACTGATCAGATAAAACGTGGACAAACTGCAGAGTTTGGAAACGTTTCTTTGAACACGTTGAAGCTGTTAAACTGAAACCTGAAGCTTTGTCTACAGTCAGAAAGAGTTCAGAGAACAACGAGAGGAAACTAGAGATGAACAGAACGACGGCTGCAGACGCACGGATACGATTCAACACAAAGAGATTCAGAAATAAACTAACGAGTCGACTTCTAACAGCTGATAGTGATGATTAGTGGTGAAGGAGGCTGAAGGAAGATGTTTGGATAAATGAAGAGTTCCAACACAAAACTTTGTTGTTTTTTACATTATACATGTTTAAACTAAAGAGAACTTTAAAACATTCTGTAAAAACTCGATCAATAATCATGAAAATGTTGAATATCGGTGCTGATGGTCCACGAGGACGGAGGACGGTGCTGCTTTCTGTGTCTGAGGGTCCAATGATGTAAGTTTTATTCACTGAAGTCCATGAAAAGCCCAAAATCTGCAGAACTACGCTACAGATTCATGTAACTATGAGCTACTGAACATGCATGGAGTCCTCCAAGTCGACTAGCAGAGCAGGAAAACGTTCATCTGCAGAGGAAATAATCAGGATTTATATGAATGAAAGCAGCAACTCAACAGATTTCCTTTGATGTGCAGCTGCTGCATCCATCTGTGGTGATTCAGTTTGTTTTCTGAGTCTGTTGTGGTTCTTTTGCATCTTTCTGGTCATTTTTCACTTTTTTTTGGTAATCAAACTTCTTTTTTGGTGATTTTGTGTCTTTTTGTGACAATTTTGTGTCTTTTTGTGAGAATTTTATGCATTTTTGTGGCACTTTTGTGTCTGTTGGTGTTTTTACTGACTGAACTTCTAGCTGCCGTCCGACACACTTCTGGGTTAGAACTCAGAACTCGTGCTTCATCGTCTCCAGAACTTTCCCTCCAGACCGAAACACAACCTCAAACTTTCTAAAAGTCTGTTTGAACTCTGGAGGACGTTGAAGCTTCTGGTTTGAAGTGAAATCTGTGCGTCTGCAGCCCGACGTGAACGTTGGTCTACATTCAGCTGAATCCTTCTTATTGCTCGTCTGAACATTTAAACAACAACCTTCTGCTACCAAACGATCCCGACACGAACCACTCGTCTGGACTCTAGTCCGTCTGATCGACTTCCTGCTTCAGAGGCCGTCGGATGTTTTCAGCCACTGAAGGAACAACGAGCTCCTGATTTTACACAAATTAAAACATCAGGAGGGATTTTTTTTCCTTTTCACAAAAAGATTCACTTCAACTCTCTGAACCCCAAAACTGGAGGATCTGACGGCAGGTTTTCTTTTTTAAAACAATCACCACAATAACGTCATTTATCAGCCTCCAGCTGCAGAAACAGGAGGAAGCATCAGATTTAAACCGACACCTGTGAGTCTTTCTGTTGGAAAATTCAAGTTTGAAATCACTTTATTTGTGTCTCATTTATAAATTTGCTGAAAAGCAACCGTTTGCTTCGGACAGATTCTGTAAAAAACTAAAAACTCTGAACTCCTCGACGTAACTCTGAAGCTGAGATCGACTCGACTGTGACCAACAGTCATGTGATGAAAATTCAGTGTTTTCAGCTGTAAATAGTTGAATATCTAAAGTATGTAGAGACACTATTTGCTTTTTATATAATCAATAAAACAAAATGTGGTACATGTTGAATCTAATTTCCAAAAAATAAAAACTGTAAGGATGCATGAAAACATCAGTATCGGTCTGATCTTTTTACTTAAATGGTCCTTTAACATTAAATATGTTTAAACATGTTTTACTTTTGTTATGTAATAAAGAAGACTATGTGGTCTAATTTGCTTTACTTATCTCAGAAATGTTCATATCGTGCATCACTAATAAACTGTAAAATAAACAATCAGAGAAATAAATGCAGCACGATTCAGAATCTGGACAAATGTTGATTCATTTTGGACCATTTTCAAGACATTTCCGGCAACTTTTAGTCATTTAGGACGTTTTTTGTCGTATTTTGGATGATTTACGAGACGTTTTGGATGAATTATTCTGACAGATGTTGAGTCACACTGGACAGCTGGTCAGAGTGGGATTTAGTCTTTTTTTAAGGTGGGCTTGTCTGTTATTGTGATGATTTTGAAGTTTATTTTTCAGTAATTCTGCAGGTTTTTGTGGCGATTTGCATCTTTTCATGGTAACTTTGAGCCTTTTTCTGGTGATTTAGCATCTTGTTGTGATGACTTTGTGTCTTTTTACGGTGGTTTTGTGGATTTTGTGTCTTTGAGGTAATTTAGCATCTTTTCGTGGCTGTTTTACTGATTTCAACTGTTATTTTTTTCTGGTTTCCTTCGTTCTGACTGAGTCCTGCTGACAGAAGACGTCTCTGGGTTCTGTCCAGAAGCTGCTGTCTGGAGTTCAGAGAGTTAAATTCACATGGTTCACAGCTTCTTGATGATGTTTTCTGAGGTTGCTGCCTCTAAACCTGGTCGGTGACTCTTTAAATTCAGTCCCTGGATCGAACCCACGACAGAAACTCGTGTTGCTTCGGTTCCTCGGTGACCTTTCACAGGTTCTGTTTGACCTCCAACGCTCGGGTCGGTTCCTGCTGTCTGCAAACACCTTCACGGTTCAAAGAGCATCATTAGCGGCGAGCAGGAGGAGGAGGAGGAGGTCTGGAGCAGCACCAGGAGCCGCTAATGGGCCTCTGATGAGCGCATTTCAATACATTAATAAGTAATAAAGTCGGCTCAATTAAATTCACCTCCAATTATTGGCGTATAAATATCCGTGCGTTGAACCGTCCGTCTGCTCGCTCGTTTCCTCGTCAGAGAAATGAAACAAAACCCTGAAGAGACGATAAATAAGCCCGTTAACGGAGGCGACTATGCTTCATGCTCTTCTGAACAAACGGAGCTCAGACGGGGTTCAGGTGGAACAAAGTGCTGCAGGAGACGCTCTTCATGAAGCCTCGTCCGGTAGAAGGTCCGGATCTCAGAAACACGTATGGCTACTGGGACTCGAAGGGAAACTACAGTTAAAGAAGAGCTACAGTAAAGACTGGAGTGTTCAGATCCGACTGGTTGGGTTCTTACCGGATCTCTCATCAAACCTCAGAGTCACAAACTGATCAGAGAATTCAGATTCACAAAAACAACCTAAAAAGGTGTCGAGAACTGGTTGATATCTTTACATACGAGCTCAAACAAACGGAGTCTTGCGGCCGATCTTTCACAAAATGGTAAAAATGAATCGATTAACTGATGAGCTGATCAACAAAACATGAATCAGTAACTATTCTGGAGTCATTTAAGAAGCTTAAATGCTAAAAAACGAGCTGCAGCTTCATCATCGTGGATCCGTTTGAGCGTCTCTCAGGTTAAACTACTGACGGTTGATTGATTTTGTTTGTCCGCGACCCAAAGAGGTTCCGGTTCTGCTCACCAGGAGGTTTGATGAGAGGTTCTGTAGCACCGGAGCTGAATGAATCTGGAATAAATCGACTAGAAACGAGATCCAAAGTGGAGCCAGCGGTCAGAACCCAACCAGAACCGGCGTCACTCGACCATCAGCTCAGAAGCTTCGACTCATGCGAGAGTTTGTCGACGGCGTCTCTGCTGAAGGCGCCGGTTTCCCTTCGTCGTATCAACTCCTCCAGCAGGTGGCGTCCTCGCGGTTTAAACACAGTTCTGCTTCAGTGTTCCCGGTCGCGGCGTCGCACCGGCACCGCGAACAGCGGCAGGGTCCCGGACGGCGACGACAGCTCCGGGTCAGAGTTCGTCGTCAGGGCGTCTCCGGCCTTGTTGCCGTGGCGATCCGAGGGCACAGACAGGTCCTGGCAGACCTCGTACGAACATTTCCTCTTCTGGAGGGCCTCGGCCCGGACGGCCAGCGAGCGGGCGCACACCGTCAGGAGCACAATGAGCGTGCCCAGAAGCAGCGACACCATTGGCCAGAGGACACAGTGCAGCAGGACGCTGGTGTCGTGGGAACGGCGCCACAAGACGTCGTCGGGCCTGAAACAGGAAGACATGGATCAGCATCAGCAGGAAGATGTCCAGAAGCTTCAACAGTTAAACTCAACACTTAATGCTGAAAAGAAGAAAAAACAGTAAATAAAACAGAATTTATCCATCAGGCCTCTAAAAGAGACACAAAACGATTCTAAACGACACGTCTGTGGGTTCTGTCCAGTCAGCATAAAACAATTTAATCTTTCTTAGAGGTTTTCTCAACAAGAATTCACAAAAAATACCCTTTGGTGTCATTAAAGAGGATTTCTACAAACTTATTAGAAAATAAAATGTAAAATAAAGATCTCAGTGATTGTAATATAAAGACTGGTGTATCTGGAAGGTCCAGTCACTGGTGGATCAGAACTGCTGGACAGAACTACACCATGAAGACTGAAGAACCCTCCAAGAACTCTGTGGAAAGCATCAGTCACGGGACGATACCAGAAAACATCTCCTGGAGTCCAGTTAAATCCATCATTATGAAATGGAAGGACTATGGACCATGAGTAGATCTGACTAGAGCAGGACGTCCTCAGAGACTGAGTGACCGAGCAAGAAGGAGACTAGAGAGGGAGGACACCAAGACTCCTATGACTCCTCTGAAGGAGTTGCTAGAAGGAGACTAGTACTACTAGCATCATGATGAGAAGCACGGAACTGAGACGTGGAGAAGACTTGTTTTCCATCAAGACAATGAGCCGAAGCAAACAGCCAAAGCTCCACAGAGATGGTTTGAAGACAACAAAGTGAAGTTCTGGAGGCCCAGTCAGAGTCCAGACCTCCATCAGAGTCCAGACCTGAAAAGTTCTGTTCCTTCATGATCCCTGTGGAACCCGACAGAGTCTGAACAGTTTCATCAGAACAATGAGGTGAAGCTGCAGCGTCCAGATGTTCAGACTGATGGAGACCAACAGGACCATGATGGAGCTGAAGGTCCATCTGCTGAACACTGACTGGAGGAGGAGACTGATGCAGTCACTTGCTGTGGTTTTCATATTTCTAACTAACTTTTCGTGTGGATATAAAACTCTTGCTCCGCTCCTAAAGCCACCTCGTACATAAACTAGCGTCTCTACTTTCAGCCTTCTGACTGCTCCAGTTTCCTCCAAAGAGCTGATGTGCAGCTTCACTGAGCTCCCAGCGGACCTCCACCTTAGAATTTCCTGGTTCTGTTGCAGAGATAAAAATAAAACCAGCCAAGGTCGCAGGTAAACACCGTCTGAGAGTAACAGGAGGATGAAGCTGACAGCGTGAAGTTCTCTTTGTCTCATCAGTTTGTGGTCGCAGCAGAAAAAGACCAGAACACAGCAGGAGAAACATCTTCAGCTTCTCTGCTCCACGTCATCGCTGCTCATGTTCAGTTTGAAACCTGCGATCATCGACTCGTCTTCAGACTCAGTTCTGCAAGAAAGTCAGTTCTAGGAAGTTGAATCTTAAAGTGAACAACAGACGTCAGCATCACTTAAATGTCCAATAATTCTAAATTACATTATT